GTTCAGAGGTGCATTCAGGTACAGTTTGATGGTTCTGAGGTGCATTCAGGTACAGTTTGATGGTTCAGAGGTGCATTCAGGTACAGTTTGATGGTTCAGAGGTGCATTCAGGTACAGTTTGATGGTTCTGAGGTGCATTCAGGTACAGTTTGTTGGTTCCAAGAGAAATAATAGTTTTTTAATAAGAGCTAGCCTTCATCTATCACCAAATGAAAACATTAGGTATAGTTTAAATTAAAGTTTAAAGTAACTTATGTTAGAAGGTTATGAACAGTCAACATCTTACCTGTTGCAGGTAGAGCTCTGAAAGACCTCTGTTTGGATAAAGTGTGTTTAATTCTGAATGAATTTATGAGGTAATGAGTAGTCCAAGCAAATTTATACTAGAGCTGAGTGGTATGACCCAAATTTATATCACGGTATTTTCAACATTTACACCGGTTTGACGGTATTTTTCTTTTCATCACCGGTCAGCTGATAATAAAATGTACAAACCCTGCTTATTGACTTTTTTCTTTTACTGTTCCTCTGTCTGTGYCGCTGTTTCCCTCCTCTGYTTGTCTTCTCTTTGACTGGTTGGAGACAGTAGTCATGCATTTTGGTCCGGTCGTGAAGGAGGAGGGTTAAGAAAAGATTATGATCGGGTTTATAGTTTTATGTTATTTAATAAAGCTTATCAACACAACTCACCTTGCACACCAGTCAAATCAACTCAACTCTACTTCCCCCGGGCTTTTCACAATAGAACCACGTTAAGTCTCCATCAGCATAACGTCTCCATATTTTAACTAACCGCGTTAAATCTAACCGTGTACGTCACCGAAGAGGTGTTTACTACATTCAGTGATGGCGAAAATGGGATGTTTTTTTAACGTCAGTCAATATAAGCAGCAGAATCGCCACCCACCGCTGCAACAAGCTGCTCCAACAATAACATTAGCATGCTAACTTACATAGCGGTGCAGCGAGGAAAAGTGTCCCCCCGGGAAGCAGTTCACTGATGGCCGCGACGAAACGTTCCGCACGTGTTCAGGCTATTTAAACCGGTATGTCCGGTATTCAGAAAATTCATATCATAACAAAAATAAAAAACGGTATTCATTACAAAACAGTATACAGCCCAGCACTAATTTGTACGTTTTGATATTAAAATGAGAGGGATTTGCGAAATGTTTGGAAACTTCAAAGTTCAGTGTGACGTCATTACTTTCTGATTTTAATATTACTGGATAAAATCTCCAAAAGTCTATTTTAAAGATCTCAACCTGCCAGCTGAGACAAAGACCTACTTCCTGTGACCCATTTTGGTTCTGCTAGAGATCTGATCCAAACCAGACCTGGTTTTACCAGAGCTGAATCAAAAACTGTGATGGAAACGAAGAACAGCTCGACAGATAAATATAAATACGTAGGAAAAACTTTCTACAGYACTTCCTGACGTTATAGTTCCCACACAGGAAGTGTTTCTCAGAACCATCATGGCCGCCCAGGATTGTTCTGACCTGATGCAGGTGTTGTTTCCCTGCATGTTTTCTGCTTTCCAGTGGGAGTTGTTCGCTCCGCCTGGTTTCCAGTTACTATTGTTGTCTGTGGAAATGCATGAGGAGGGGCTCAGAGCTCAGAGGGATGTTTTACTGCAACAAAGCAGCTCAGAAGGAGCCCACCAGCAGAGGAGCGCATGACACAGCATTGTCAAACCTCTGTCCATTAAAACGACCATGACACACACTGTCCCTGTGTGTGTGTGTGTGTGTGTGTGTGTGTGTGAACAAGTGTGTGTGTGTGTGTG